TTTTGCATTTAAATAAATTGATTTTTGAAAGGGGTTTAAATCTCTTTTTAATTTTAAACAAAGACTTTTCGGATGAACTTTAAGTTAAATACCATGTGATTTAAGAAATCGCAAGTATTTAAATTGTATAAAGAAAATTTAATTTTTTAATTCCAGATTTATCTACGCGTGAAAAATAAATACAAGCTATTTTTATTCTGTGATATTAAGCTTTTTTAAAAATAATTATCGTTGCTTCTTTCAAAGCATAAATTTGATAACGGAAAGATATTAATTATATAAATATGTGCTTTTAGCATTTTACATTGCTGCTCATGACCATTTTGGCAGCTTTTTAAAATATTTGAGGGCTTCCGCCCGATCTTGCTCACACTTTATCATTATATAATCAATCTCTATATTAAATCGCTCAAGAAATTCATTTGCTTCATAGTTCTGCAACATATTATTTATCCAATATCATTTTGAATTACAGTATATGGTTTACAGTATAAATAATTTCGGTTGGTAATTGGATGGCAATTTAAAAGAGATCATACGAAGAATTATTTAATTTTTTCTAATATATGGCAACAACCTTACAGTTTACAGTATATCATGTTTATTCACTTTATATCTATTTATAAAACCGCCTTTGGTAGAACATGTCGATTTTGTCTCAAATAGGAAAGTCAAAAGTATAACATTTAAATAAATTAAAAAAAATATTTTTAAGTGTAACAATATTTTTGTAGCAAACAAAAACACAATTTAGACGCGGAACGATCTTCAGAATGCGACGAAAAAAAAAATATATGTGCGTGCGGCTAAAGATATATTTTTATTGGAACGACAGCACGAAAAAAAAAGTGCCTAGACTTTACTAGTCCTTCGCATTGCAAAAGAAATTACAGCGCTAAATATATGCGCAGTCAACTCGTGTATTTCCGGATAAGATTAGCTTATCGTAGGAGAGAGGGAGGGTAAATAACAATCATTTTTGATCTGCGTATTAAGATATTATCCCTTTGCCATTGTAAGAGCTTTGTAAGAGGGCTTCCTTGCTTACTAGAATCAATGAATTTATAATAGTACTTTGTTGATTACTTATGATTGATAATTTTGTCTATTTCTGCATCATTGACGCTAATTTTTTTTAACGAATTTGGCGCAGCTTGCGTTTCGATATATTGGACTCGTGACCTTTCAATTTTTTTTTTATGCCTTCCAATGCTCTGACGCATGAGGGCTAGAGGCTTTGTTTGGAGCTAGAATAGTCGTATTCTAGAAATTCTATTGTACTTACAATATATTCCAGAAGAGTGACTTAGTAAAATAGAGCGGTGGAGAGCGATTGAGGTTTAAAGATGATTCATTTTTAGAACTTGTTGCATTTTTGACAATTTAAGTCTGCGGTGAAATTGAAGAGCGCTATTTAATTATATTATCAAGGAACATTTTGGGATCGAAATAGTTATCAAAAATCCAATTATAATATAGTAATTTTACTGTAAGTATATAACTCAAAATCCCGTGTTGTTAAAATTTTAAATTCATTTAAAGTGATGTCATGTGTTACAGAATCTCACATATAATTAATTGAAGAAAAAAAATCAATATAATATTTTTAACACACCGATAATGATTGATTAAAAAAAAAATTTTAATATATTACATAAAAAACGATCAATTAAAATCATGTTCTTTACAAAACTTGATTGCGGGAGGATATTCATTATACGCAGCTAATTTCATATAATATTCAGCTTTTTGTAAATCTCTTTTATCACCGCCACAACCTTTAAAATGTAGATTTCCAGCATTATACATTGCCACTTTAAGGCCATTTTCGGCAGCTTTCTCAAAATATTTGAGGGCTTCCACCAAATTCTGTTTAACACCTTTACCATTATATAAGCAATCCCCATATCTTAATTTCGCCTCAGGAAATTCATTTGCTTCATCATCAGCAACTTCTTTAAATAATTCCGCAATAACCTTTTCTTTGTCCTTAATATTACCCGAATCAGCATATCCTTTTGAAATATAATATGCTTTATAATATTTAGCTTTGACTTGATTGAACTTTGCATACGCTTCGAAACATTTGTACGCATTGGTTAAATCTCCAGCGATATTACCACTTCTATCAACCAATCGATGCTGCTTTTCTGCTTCAGCAAGTGTCATGTAATTGAATGACTCAGAATCTGGTAAATCTTCATCTTTTATGGCAAATTCATCTTGGTCCATACTGAATTTTCGTTGTGGGGTTGGTTTCTTTATTTTCGGTGGCACGTAACTTTGCTTTTGTGAATTTATAGGGGATGGTGAAGCTTTGATGAATTCTTTGTAACTATTGCGAAGTTCTTTGAACATATCTGTAATTTTTGGCCTAAAATCTGGATCTTGATTAACAGCTAAAAAACAGAAAGAAAATAAATTATAATTTTGCGAGACAAAGAAAAATCAACGCATATTTTACATACCATTTATTGCTAAATTTTGGAATACGATAGGCATTGTGTTATTTTCAGAAAAAGGTTCTCGATATTTCTTTTTAAGTACAAGTTCGGTTATAGTCATAATATCATCATGCTCTTGATACGGAAGTTTCATTTCAGCGATTTCCCAAAGTAAGATTCCAAAGCTATAAACCTCACATTTATGATCATATTTAAAATTCGGGGCCCTATCCAACAATTCAGGAGCACAATAACGTACACGTTCTAAATTGTGCTTTTGGTTTGTCGTGGGCCCGCTCGTGTGGCGACTTAATTTAAAATTTGCAAGTTTTGCTGTATCATTAACCGTAATTAAAATATTCCTTGATCTAATGTCACGATGTACAATCTAAAAAAATGTGAAATTTCTTTCAAAAATAAATTAAAACAAATTAAGTAATGATTTAATTAATTAAAAACTAATGCTTACCCCTACAGATCTTAAAAAATTTAATCCACGAGCAATATCAAGAGATATACGTAATTTTAAAGTTTCATCAAATCGTCTTTCATGTTCAGTATAAAATTCGTGTAAATTTCCAAATTCAGCCCATTCCGTTACCAAATATGATTTGTTTTCATCATAAGCAAGTCCATAAAATTTTATGATGTTCTGCCAATCTTGAAATTCTTTAAAGATTGTAACTTGATTCCGTATGCTATGTTTATCTTCTACATCAGAAATGTTCTTAAATGCAAATTCTCGAGCCTCATTTTTAATATCAAGGTATCGAGTTACACGTCCTTCATTACGACTCTCATTGGTTTCTTTATATTCTATGAATTCTAATTTATTACTTTCCGTGAAAATTTTATCAATTTTATTTTGATAATATTCAAAATTGGTATCCTTTCGTACTGCACTTTTATTTTGTTCGTCCAGGAGTTTTTCCATCTTATTATTCATTGTATTGATTTTTAAAACCATTATTGAAAACTCTTCTTTAAATTCTTTGATGTCAGATCCAATTTCTTTGACGTTAACTCCCATTTCTAACATATACTAAAATTATTAAATGTGATAATTAATGAAACGTTAAATCGAATTCTGCAATAGTGAGTAATGAATCTTACTTTATTTAAATCATCTTGATCAGCTTTTAATTGTTCAGCTTCGTCATCAACACGAATTTTGTCTTTAATCAATATGGTAAAACTCAATAAATTTATCCAACTATCAAATTCTCTACATAATTCACAAAAAGTCTTCTCAACGCCTTTTGCCTTGAGATGTTTCATCAAAGTATTCATTTGAGAAACTTCTTCTGCGAATTTTTTGATATTTACTATAACGTTAACCAAATTTTGTAAATACAAATAGTTCCTATTAACGAAGAATTCTTTATTCTCATCTCTTTGAATTTTAAGATCAAATAAGGCTGATTCTGCCGCATGAACTCGTTGTAATAATGCTCTGCAAGTTCGCTTATTGTGTTCGGCAGCTTGTACGATTTCAACGATTTCGTTAAGCACATTTCCAATTTCGGAAATTAAAGGAACAAATTTTGCGAATGGAACTGCTGTTGAAGTTGCTTCTCCGATTGCCGCAGTAAATTTTACCGCTGATTTGGCTATGGGTTCAGTAATTTCTGAAATATCATCGAGCTTTTCTGCAAAATAGCTTAATTTGTTTGGTTCATCTTTTTCATCTTCTTGACCTGTTGCACTCATTTCAAACTTTAAAAAATTTTTTATTTTTTTAGGAACCGGAATTCAAAACTCCGCCTATTATATACAATTGATACATTTGTACCATGTTACCATTATTTCCTAAAAGGATCCTCGGGCTTAGCTTAATTTCAATTACCAGTAAAAAAAAAAAAATATCAGTACGATCGGCTCCATTCGGCAAAACTCGGAATAAGGCAAAAAAAATATGTCAATTTTTAATATTATTCCTAGTTAAGGACGGACGGAAATCCCGATTTTTCAAAAAAAAAAAATTAATCAGAATAAATAATAATTTTAATATTTATATTATAAAATTTATATTATATTATATTATTACATATTTGGTTTGTGTATTCAAATGTATTAATTAGTTAATAATAATAAAATATCAATCATTCAATATGATGTTCTTTACAAAACTTGATTGCGGGAGCATATTCATTATACGCAGCTAATTTCATATAATATATAGCCTTTTGTATATCTCTCTTAGCTCCGCCACAACCTTTAAAATGTAGATTTCCAGCATTATACATTGCCACTTTAAGGCCATTTTCGGCAGCTTTCTCAAA